AGGCGGGTGCGGTGCGGAAGCAACTGCGGGAAGCGTATAATTTCCGCTTAGCGATTTGTAGGAGCCCTGTGTTCCGCATCTTATAGTCACTGTCAAAAACAGAAAGAAATAAAAACGAATGGGACATAAGAAATCAGCGCAGAAACAGCCGACGTTTTTTCGCACCGAAGCTTTTCTGAAATAAAATGGGCTACGTGGTAAATGCGAGCAGGATATACTGCAGTGCGATCAGCGGCTCGTTATTTAGCCTCACTTTCCGCCACACACGTTGACCTCATCGCCATGAAGTCACGTCTCTTGTCTTTGCGCCATAAGGCAGAGCGAATGGCGTCGTTGCCTTACCGACTACGCTTTCGTGGGACCGATTTCGACCATGGAGGGGACTAGCTGGGTCTTGGGAGGTCGGCAGCGCAGTGTACAAAACGCCGCGTCTTCTTGATTCATGTCCTCGGCTCAGAGAGTGTAATAAAATTTGTCGGATGTACAACAGAGCGCCATTTCCTGAGCTACGCTTCGTAACCAACATAACGCATTTGAGGATTGAGAACCGTTTTTATCGTTTCTGCTCACTTTCCGACACGGTAGGCGCGGGCGTCATTTTCCGGCGAGAGCTTTTTATTTTGCTCCGTGATGTTCGCGGTACGGGTTAATTAAGAAAAACAACGCAGGTTCCTTCTCGACCCCTGCTTTTTTGTTATAGTTGAACTTCCAATAAAATATATATAAAAAAAATGATATGACGTTAGTCTCCAAATGAGGGGCCAACTTTTATGCCCTAGGAGGTAAGATGAAGGGAAAGAAAGAAAGAAAGAGAGAGAGAGAGAAAGAAAGAGAGATTTTAAGTTGCTTGGAGTAAGGCAATGAGAGGTGGTGGAACAGGAAACTGTTGCCTTCATTAAAAGAAAACAAAAAGAAAAGTCGACGTTACTTGCTTAGATAGCGTAAGGTTGGTTTCTCCTTGTATGAAATGGCACCGTTAAAAGCTGTAAATGTGACATTTAGTAAGTGCTGTACTAATGCTAGTTTGGCGTTTTTAATCTGCAGCACGGAGTAGTGGCAATGCCCTAGTGCGTGCTGCAGACGCACGCAGTTGAGGCAGGAGCGAAATACGAGCACCCCTCATTTTCCCGGTTTTCTTCTCCCGAAGAATGATGGAAGGGGGGGGGGGGGGGGGGGGGGGGGGGGCAGCATAGAATTAACGGGTGTGCACAATTTTTATAAATATATATAGCGTGACAGAAAATGCGACACATGGAAAGCTTATTCTAAAAAAAATAATTCTTGAAGGAATAAGACACCGCGTGCCGTGCCAACCGAATTTAGTCCGACAGCGCCGGCCCCGCATTTTATTCGGTAAATATTTGATTTCGCAAGGAATCATTCGCAAGGACTGTCATATATATAAAATCAGCACTTTATTACGTTCGAAATGTTGGAAGCGAAAGCTCTTCCATTTTGATTAGTCAAATTTCCGTCGAAGACTCGTAACGTTAAAAACAAAAATGTAAAAAAAAAAAAAAATGTAAAAAAAAAAGAAGCTGAATTTGCACGATATTTAGGCGTGCGATAAATCCGCCATGCTATTTCCGGGAAAAGAAGGGATTCCGAAAATGGCCGCGTTAAAAAAAAAAAAAAAAAACACATTTACGATCTCTGCTTAATATCCCAAATGCTCCACATACGCTAATGACATAAACACTTTTTAATGGAATCTGAAAAATAACTCTACAAATTCAGGCAAATGATTACCTGAGGAAACTTTCAAAATGGCTCGAAAAAAAATCTACTTAAGCTTAATGTGGACAAAACGAATTACATTGTGCTTAGCCAAGTGAATAAGCACGAAAAAACCCCAATACCACTGCCAATTTAATGATATTCCCATATCTCAAGTACAAAAGCAGAAGTTCCTTTGTGTTTGGTTCAGGGAGCAGTTTACCTGGACAACTTATGTAATTAAATTAAATAGTCAATTATCGAAATTGGTCGGTTGCGTGGGTGGAATATGAAATTGAATACCCAACTGGCTTAAGAAAAATCTATATTATGTACCGTTTTACTCGAAATTTTGCTATAACGTTCTAGTCAGGGGAACAACAACAGTAACAAACAACAATAAATTACAGTTACTTCAGGAAAGGGTCCTTCCTAATTTTGAGAATTATCATGGTAATGTTCGCGATTTTCCAAGTAATCCACGCTTAAAAAAAACAAAAAAAAAAAAACATGAATTATTCAAAGCAAGCCAGATTTATTACTTCAAACTGATGCAAGTAATTTACGAGCAAAAGCTTAATTGAAAAGATGAAGCCTTCATACAACAATATGAATTAATAAATACAAAGCGAAAAACGACGGAGGTAAAAACAAATTACGGAAAACAAAAATTTAATTATCAAGTTCCTTCAGTGCCAAATATTTTTAACGAACATTACGACTTTTTAGTGTCGTTTCATCGATATAAGAGCGAAATAAAAGAACACGCACATTCACAACTAAATAGGTTTTGGAAAGCAAAAAATTTTTGAACTTCCGTGATGTCAGATTTTTACACTGAACCTATGCCTAATGCTCTAGTGCCTGCATCATTATTTCTTCCTTTTCGTTTCTCAGTATCAGCGTGTCTAAACAGATCGTTGTGCCCCAATAATAAGACCAGCGTGCTTTTTGTGACCCTATGACGAGTCAGCTATTTATTGTAATTTAAAAACTTATTTCTTGAACATGACATTATTTTCAATAATCGTAGAATTATCGCCTTGTGTCCTATGTTTTTAAAGGTGAAAAAAAATGTGACGGTGACATTTTGTGAAGCATACGTTAAAATATTTTTAAACAAGTGTATGTTTGTTACGCATAATTCTGTCAAGTGTAGCTTTTCTCGTCTCTGTGTGTGTGTATGTTTTTTTTTCTATAATTGTGTACTTCTACTACGAGGTGTGGAGGCATCAGTCAGGCAGGAAAGCATTTTGTTTCCACCTCCCTACCGTGAGATACCCGCAAAGATCCAGTTTTACAATTAAAAAAAAAAAAAAAAATGCCGACGCCTAGTTTCTTATTGAAAAAAGGACACAATGACGGATTTATTTGATTTTATTGTAATTTTACGCAAATTTGGGTTGCTTTTTCGCGCATGTGCTCCGGCCTCGATAAGATCTCACATTAATGTTGGTGTCATTCGCGTTGCACAGGCCACGAAATTCTCCCACTGCATTATCGCTCCCGATCTCCGGTACAGAAGAAGGGCAATACACTTGAAGGTCCCCCTAAGCCACCGACAGCAGGGCCTATTATGTTCACGCTTTGCACTCCCTGATTCGGCGTTGTAATCGGGTAGTACCGAAATCTCATTTATTGCGGTGCAATATTTAGGTGATAGAGACTGGCCCCACCCCGGATTTCTCGAGCTCTCAGCGACCCTAAAAGCCAGCATGGTATCGCGATAAGCCACGCGCTGGCTTTCGGCTGCGTCAATATTTCTGCTCGAAACGTGGTGCGCCCTTGTATTTTCTTTCCCTTTATATTGATACCTAAACTACATCTTCCACTCAAAATACCGAAGTACTGCTACCTATATAATATATCGATCAGTTAATATGGTCCACAGAAACACTAAAAAAATACAGTGCTTCTACTTTCGCGCAGAACACTTGAAAGAACAATTATGTTTAGAACAAAAAACAGTCTGAGCATCGTGCTCAGAGTGTTTCTTTAGGTCTAAACTATATATAGGGTGTGCAAAGTGTAAAAAGTGCAAAAAGTGAACAGCGCAGTGTAATCCCCGGCTTCAACACTGTTCAGATAACCGGTGCTCGCGGCCTTCCCTTGCAGTGCGAAGCCTCTAAATGTCGCAGATTCATTATATTCGAACCACTCTTTGCACACCCCTATAGACCTTTGCCTCGCTTATCACCCAAGCGATAAATGCTGAGTCATCGAGCTGTGAACGCATGCGCAGCGTCCAATATACCGCACAGCAGATCAAAAGCGCATGCTCGGAAGACGTTCCACAGCCCAGCAGACAAAGATGGCGGCACGCAGAAGGCGATTTCCGCAAAGGTCTATGGCCTAAACATGCGTTCAGCGTCGTCACTCCTGTTGACTACAGCGATTGGCTACCTCAATAGTTTCGCTGCTCAGTAGACGCACGGTATCTCCGAGGGTGATTCATAAATTATCCGCACAAACGTTTCAATACCCGTTTTTTGCACAAACGTTTCGAAACCCAAGTCTGTCGCGGAGTATTGCGTGGACAGAAAACCGATTCACGAATGATTTGTCTCATCATCCACCGTCACTCGTCTTTCCGACAGTTTAGGTGCACTCTCAATGTATCATCAGTCGCGGACGGCCTCCTTCTTCCTTGTGCGTCCTTCATTGAAGTTCCGTACCAGCTCAAACGCGCTTCTTTACGACAAGATACTGTGCGCGAAGTATCGGATTCAGACGCACCCTCATACTATACAAGAAACGAGCCACAGCACGCTGCTCTTCTTTCGTACACAAGTGGCGCAGTCAATGTTTCTCGCACCGCGGTCACAACTGAACTGACGCGTTCAAACCTGCACCGCATGTGACTAAAGAGACAGAGGTGTATACGAAAAGCGCCGATAAGACAACAAAAGTTTTAAGATAACCGGAGTAGGGATAATTTTACTCTCATATTTCTTAGAGTGAAACACCAGGGCCGGCTTGCTAGAAGTATAGTGTCTCAGTTGAGACTGCTCAAAGAAAGCGCTGCCAAGGCTAGGGCGCGGGAGCGTCTGAGACTCGGCTTAAGCTCGAGCGCTAGCCTTGACAGCGCTTTCCTTGAGCAGTCTCAACTGAGACACTGCTTTGAGCAAGCCGGCCCAGAAGTTCGTCAATTGCAGTGGTTACAGTACCGTCTTGACGTCACGTGCAAAGAACAAACGGACGTATACGCGAACGGGACGATCAACCGGTGTGGACGCTCGACGGCGGTCGGTATACTGACTCCCAAAAAATGCGGCGCCACTCACATCTGTTTGTGGCAGACGACGCAGAGCCACTGGTCCGAGCCTTCGGCGGCGCCCGGTTCGAAGAGCCGGCAGTCCCTGCAGACCTTCTTTCGGCAGGCCGGGCACGGGGCCCCCCTGTTCAGGATGCGGCCCAGGGCAGCCAGGCAGCGGGCACAGCTGCGCGCCGGGTCCAGGCCCGGTCGCAGGGCGCCTCGCTTGCGGAGACGCTGCAACTCCGCCTTCAGGTGTCTGCGAGAGAAACACGGACCAGGTTCACACACTCCAGTTTGCTCCACGCATTTATGTAAACTCCGTCAAAAATCCGAATGAACACCCAACCACGGTGGAGAGATAAAGGGAAAGAATTATAACGTGGGCGATCTTTCGGGGGCGGATATTTGTTCGGGATTCTAGGGTAATTCCGTTCGAAACTGGCGGTTGCATGTGTTTGATGCTACGAAACGTTCATGTAGTTATGGTGCAGGGGTGAAGACAATCAGTGAGGCAACGCAAGTTATACAGCGTATCTGTCGATTATACACTGAGGAATTAGCTATAGATTGATATGGGCCTACCTAGATGAAGCTCTGCGGATAAAACGTAACGAATCGCAATGCTCAGATGTCTAAAAAGACACCCAAAATGATAAACATTCAGATGATGGATTAGACACGGCCTCTGGATCACTGCTGCTTCGCTCCGGTACGCCTCTTCACTCGGAGATGCATTGAAACAGGGATCCAGCCGACTTTCTAGAGCTCGATGAGCTCGTCGCTGGAAGCGTGGAACAGCGGTCATGGGCAGTGGGGAGTTTTCGTAGACCGCGTTTCCCCCTCCGCTAAGCCCTCCGCAACGAAGAAGCCGCTACTGGGCCTGCGCGCCGATGGCCTTGACCGTAGAGTTCGGGGTATCGTAACGGGTTGCGGAGAGCGTTGCGGGACTGCGAAAACGATCTACGAAAACTCCCGATAGTCGAGCAATATGCTTTTACGCTCCTCGGGCCTCGCGCCGCTCCCGCTCGTTCACCACTACAAACGGTGACCGCTGTTCAGTGTCAACAGGCTGAATACCACTAATACCTTACTTACACGGGCACACTGAACTGCAGTCAGCAAATCTTTGCGTTGCGTTAGAGTTGCGAGCTCCACGCTGCGCATGCGCGTCGTCAGCATGCTCCAATTCGATACCACAACTTTGGACTCCGCCCACGCGCAGCGTGGGACACGCAACGCTAACGCAAACAAATACAGTGCTTGCGTTCGCTTGTACAAGCAGTACTAAAACTCACTAGTGCTTCCCCAGTTTTCCAGCGCCAACGAAACGTGCTGCAGTGAGCAGACGTGCAAGCGGGTAGGCATTCCTTCGAACTGGAAAGGCTGAAATCGGCAAAACGACGACGTGCAAAAATAAAAGAAAAATTCCAATTAAAAAAAAAAGTCTCCGTCGCGTTTTTTTTTTTTTTTTAGGTTTTTTTTTGCGTTTTCTTTTTTTTTTAGAAAAAAAAAAAAAGAAAAAAGGTTTGGAACGATTGGCGGCGACTTTGAAAGCTTTGCCGATTGGCAAAAGTCGCGACTTCGATAGCACCAATCGATTTACCCACAATTAATATCATATTACGTGGATTTTTCCGATTAGTTAGAATTTTTTAATTGCTTTTAGACTATATTCATTTTAGAAATTGTTAACAAAGATCAAGGTAACCTAAGCGTTCCTTGTGGGTTGTGAATGCGAAAGCATGCAAGCCGCTCGTCCGCTCCGTTTTTCGTCTGCTGCGTATACTTCTCGTCGCCGGTTGGCGCGCGTGCTCCCTTGGTGACCTTAAACGCGCGCGCTCTGATGGACACGCAGCGTCATGGGGTGAGCGGTCGTGGAAACTGACGATCGCAGCGGCCAATGGGAGCCCCGTCGACGCGCGCCAGCCAATGGAACCGAAGGAAACAGCCTGCCGTTTTCGCGTTTCAGACTGATGACGTCAGCTCGCTCCATGAAGCAGTTAATAGCGAGTTTTAGTAGACCGTGTTTCCCCCTCCGCTACCCGGAACTCTACAGACAAGGCCATCGGTGCGCAGGCGCAGTGGCGGTTTCTTCGTAATGGAGGGTTAGTGGAGGGGGTAACACGGTCTACTAAAACTCCCTAATTCTTTCGCATTAAAATGCTACAACTGGCACCAGTGATAATAATTTAAACACTCGGGATTGCCATACTTTTTCGCGCGTTTGAAATTAGAGCAAAAGTAGCGAATCATATTTGAACTTGAAAAACTACGTAATAAAATATCTTGGTTGTATTATTATTATTATTATTACAAATTGCGGCAACGTACGCCCCCAATCCGCGCCACGACCACAAATATTACGTAATTTAACCATAATAGTATTTCGAGAAAGGTCTCATTTTGTTTTCTTCTTAGCAGATGAAAAACTCTGGCATCGTTGTCGAGATAGACAAACAGTCAAACACTGGATGTAATGTAAAGTCATAATCGTCACGCGTTGCTTGAAAAAAAAACAGACGAAAAACATACACACTTGAATTGTTTGACTTGAATTCCTTCTTTGGGTTTTTGTAGTTTCTAAATTTATGCGTTTTTTTAATATATTAGAAACTCATCACAGGTGGTGATACTTAGTAAAATTTTGATTGATTCTGTTATTCTTGAGCTGGGAATAATGTTAAAGCAATGAATGATCTAAATATCCGAAAATCCATTAGAAGGCCCGCAGCCCCTTATTTCATATGACAATTATCTCAGCGAGAAAAGGCAGCGAAAATACAAAAATATCAGCACAGATATTTTCAACGAATACAATATTCTATGTTACCACTAAGCTGTATGAAGACCCTGTCTTTAAAGGGACACTGAACACTCCAAAACATTTTAAAGTGCCTGGGTCGGACAGCGTATCTCACAAAATAAAGGTTACGCGAACAAGTTCTTTGGCTCAATAATTACGGTGTGAGACACATCTTGAGTTATGAAAGAATCCGAAATTAACACGTATATAGAGAAATTAAATCCAAAATGGAGGTTAGTTTCGGTTTCGCTCCAGAATTAAAACGTGCCCCCTGGAGTAAATATTACGCTAAAACTAAACATTGTTTTTGTTTCTAGAATGGAGAGGTGACCTGCGCTCATAACATTCTAGTTTCCTCGTATAAGCAGGAATAATTTGTATCGCTCAATGAAACCAGCACACTAGGCAGGACCAGCAAGTGGTGTACCGCACGCATCTCCCACCCTCACAAATACCGCCATTTTGCAAATCGAGTGACGCCACCTATAGTGAATCGGAGTCGCGAATAGGGAGGGTGGGGCACGGGGGTCGTGCTGTTTTTGGACAAGAACTGCTGAACACTCAGTGTGCGGTGCGGGCAGAATGACTGCCCCAGTTGTGGCGACATGACAACGCGCCTGCCCAAACCGCGATGGGTGTTCAGCAGTTCTTAACCAAAAACGGCATGACTTCCCTCAACCTACCCACCCTAAGCACCCAAGAGTGCCCCCGTGGGACCTTCTTTTCTTTGTTTTTGTTTCCGCGGATGAAATAAGATTTCAAAGGCAATGTTTTAGCCGATCTGGTAAAAGTGAAACGAAAAGCGTCAAAAGCGCCGAAACGTGTCAAAATCGTCAAGTGTAATGGCTATTTTGGGCGTTGGGAGAAACGTCTCGACAAGTGTATTGCATTAGGCGAAAAAAAAACAACAACAAAAAAAAAACTTTTGAAGGTGACATTTATTCGACCCGTAAAAATAAATACACAATTTTGTGAAAATAAATTCCGCTTGTTTTCTTTTGGGTCCTCCTCGTACATGCAAAGATCAAGACACAGTTCACAAGTCATATGATATGGTAGTCCTACATTTTCACGATTTACCCTCCAGATGTTAAGTAAAAAATGATATCATTTTGATTGACCTAATTCAAAAAAGCACGCGCCAAAAAAAAAAAAAAAAGAGTATTTGAAGAAAACAATGTTTTTCTGCTATGATGTTAGTGGCTGGCCGTCGCTTCTCCATGTAACTTTGTGTGAACAAACGTAGCAATACGTTAGTTCAAACACTGGCAGCTTACCGTGTAGTTTTATTGTTTAAAAGACTGTTTCATAAAAAAAAAAAAAAAAAAAAATCCATACCACGGGTTATCGATAAGGACAATAAAAATTATTCTATACACTAAACAAACAATTTTCGTTTTGTTTGGAGCTGAAGTAATCGAGTACATAGTTCACGAACCGAATGACTTACATCTGTGCACGACACAAAAATATGGAGAACGTTGCAGTTCTAGCGTTACTGATTTTTGAAAGACGTGAAGTACCACGCCTGAAATCGTTCACAACTTTGCGGGTGACTGTCGATTCACCGGGAACTTTTAGCAAATTGTGTTTCTGCAGTTCACGAGGCTTGATATAAACTGCTGCGCACATGGAGCGGTATCGGGCCTGCAAAAACTAATGACTAAATCTCCCGATTGGCGAAACAGACTCAAGTGAACTAATAACGTCTACTGAACATGTTGAAAGTAGGGTATTTCCCTTTTTGGGAGGAGGAAAATGGGGGAGGGGAGGTGTAAGTAGAAAGAAGGAAAAAAAAAGTTGTTCTAACTGAAGTCGTTGTACCGACTCGTCGTGGAAACAAAAACACCGAGAAAGGATAGAAAAAAGAAGAAAAAAAACTACGAATAACACAAAAGACACAAGCGAGCTGGTGGACGCTCAGAATTATAAAAACTCGAGACCGAGGTACACATAATCCCCCGCAGAGCCGTCCGAAACAATAACAGAGCAAATGAGGACAAACATTCGCCGAAACGCAGCCAGCCAGCAGTGTACAGGCACAACTCGTACGGGAAAACACAAACGCAAAAAAGACAAAACTAAACCTGTTTGCCGGGATCATCACATAAGTCAAGAAGAAGCCGCCACTCCGCTCCGAACGTGAGACCATAAGTAAACACGGGAGCAGATTAAGCAGGATCTTGGTTTTTTTTCTTCGTCGCCCAAGCTCGGCACCATCTAAGATGCGAACCCCTTGGGCGGAAGAGTGGCGTCCTCACGTCGTTCACGGGCACTTTCGCGGAGAAGTGCCTCGCTAATCCGACCTCAGTGTCAGCCGGCTGCTCTTCAACGCCCAAGTGTGCCTAGATTTCAGTGTTTCGAGCTGCAAGATCGGGGTCGGGTCACGTGGCGTATGGGCCGAATTTTAAAAATAATAATATTATTATTAATCATATAGAATATCTACATTT